TTTTAAATAGTTATCTCCCATCATGATAATAACATTCTGGAAGCCCCTGGGACTTTGTATTTTTCTTAGCCTTGAAAAATAACAATGCAGAGGGCGAAGAGATCTTGTAGCACGTTTGAGACTGTGTAGCGTAAGCTTTTGTAGACATGGCTTACTTCTAAATAAACAAGTTTACCAAAGCTTATACTCACTACAGCTTCTTTCTCACACAAGGTGCAACTACACTGTAAAAATAAGGCACCATTTTAAGTGCTGTAGCTCCATCCTATGGAATCCTAGGAACTGTAGTTTACTGCCTTGCAAAACTACAAAGCCCAGTATTTTGTAGGATGGAGCCAGGGCAGTTATAGTGGTGTCAAACTGCATTATTTCTAGTGTAGATGCACTCTAGGTCTACAAGACCATGTCTGCAAAAGCTTACGCTGCCTACTTCTTGTCTCAAAGGTGCTACAAGATCCTTTTGCATAATGATATTCTAGACTAACAGGGCTATGTATGTGAAGATAGAGGCTGCACCCACACTGCAGAAATAATCCAGTTTAACTGCCATGGTTGAGTGCTATGGAATTCTGGGAATGGTAGTTTGTTGTGGCACCAGAGCTCTCTGACAGAGACGTCTCAATTCAGAGACACAGCCATGAGAGAGGCTGCATCCGCAGTGCAGAAATAATCCAGTTCAACACCATTTTAGCTGCCATGGCCCAATGCTATGGAATCCTGGGAACTGCAGTTTGTTGTGGCCTCTGGGCTCTCTTTCAGGGAAGGCTAAATGTCTCACTACAAAACTACAGTTCCCAGAACACCACAGCACTGAGCCATGGCAGTTAAAAGTGGTGTCAGACTGGATCATTGATCCAATGCGGATGCAGCCAGAAACAGCGTTGCTGTTGTCGTTGTTGTGTGCCTTCAAGTCTTTTCTACCTTATGGCGACCCTAAGGGCAAACCTATCACGGGGCTTTCTCTTGGCAAGATATGTTCAGAGGATGGTTTGTCATTGCCTTCCCCTGAGGCTGAGAGAGTGTGACTCCCCTAAGGCCACCCAGTGGGTAATTAGGTTAAAAACAAGGGGTTGAATCCAGCCCCTTTATACCTTGGCCTCAAAAAGCGGGGCGGGTTTATTATCTGGGACTCTGAGGACGGGGTCCCTCCCTCCTGGCAGCACCGCCGCCATCATCGGCCTCGGCCTCGGCCTCGGCCTCGCCAGACCTTCCCCGGCGGCTCCAGGCCCCGGCGGAAGAAGGGACCGAGGGAAGGCCGGGAGGCCCGGCTCCTCGTCCTTCCTGCTGCGAGAGGAGGAGGAGGAGGAGGAGGAGGAGGAGGGCCCGCCGGGCGGGGAGAGGGACGCGCTGAGGCGGAAAATGGCGGCCGGGGCGAGCTGAGGAGGCAGAAGGAGCGAAGCAAACGCAACAGGCAGCGTCGCCGCCGCCGCCGCCGCCGTCCTTCTCCTCCTGTTTCTCCCCGGCGCTCGCCATGAGGCTCCTCCGGGCCCTACTGAGAGGCCTCTCCCCGGCCACGATCCCTCAGCAGGTGGATTTCTACTGCCGCTTCTCCCCGTCTCCCCTCTCCATGAAACAGTTCCTCGACTTCGGTGA